AGATATGGCAAATATTACTTTCATTAAATATTTCCCTTTTTGATGCTCAGATTCACAAAACAGTTCTCCATTTGAAATGACACACAACATACCCAGTATTTTATTTTATTCTTAACCAGTTGGGGGCTTTACCTTCTCCTTTTATTAATTTTTACACAAAACACTTCATTTAACCCCTTTATAAACTAGCACCCACCCAGGAACAATCGTGCTAAATACAGAAGTTAACAGGGTGCATCATCATTCAGACTTAGTGAAATGAAATTAAATACTGAAGTGGAAAGATCCATTTTTACTTTTCAATTGTTGCCAGACTCAATGGCCATTGTCAAGACAAATACTAAATCACCCTATGGCACAGACCCTGGTGAGGGGCTTCCAATCGAATTGGCTTTATTTGCCTCATATGGGGAGGGAGGGAGGAAGAGAGGGAGAAGAGAGAGAGAGAGAGAGAGAGAGAACAAATGTACCTTGGACTAGAACAACAGATCTCAGCTACTGTTCAAGCCAAGGATGGATCTATATCCCCCTATCCCTCTCTCCTTCCAACCAAGCCTGTCACAGAAATTCAGTTTCTGGCCCTTTGCCCCGCAGCTACAGACTGCACTCCGCATCCCGGGTTTAGCGTCGTCGATGACACCCCAGGGTCACCCGCGGTGCTCTCTTGCGGCCTAGACAGTCTGCCTGTGTCCCGGCGGGGCCAGGCCAGACCTCGCGGGCTAGGCACTACGAGTGGCCGGGCCGAACCGCCCCCAAGGCCAGTGGAAGGTTCCTGGGTCAAGAGCCAGCCAGGCAGGGGACCAAGCTCCGGCAGCCGCGAAACTGGCCCTCCCCAGCGGCGACCCCGGCGTGAGCCTCCTCCCGCCCTGCCTTCTGTGCCCAGGGCAAATAAAGAGCGGCTCGTGCGTTGGCCCGCAGCGCAGAAGGGCCTAGCCGGGCCTCGCCTCCACCGTCCGGCGCTCCCGCGCCGCTCGAGCGCACCCTTTATTGACAGGCAGATAAGAAGGCCGGGACCGTGGCGTTTCCAGCGTCTCTCTTGAGCACCCTGCCGGGTTGCAGGGATCCGCGCACTCTTAATGGTCCGGACTCTAAACAAGCCCGGAGCAGCCTTCCCCGAGGCCTCCCTTCCGGACAGAGGGGGTGGGTTGTGAGCGAGCCGCTGACACAAACTAGGGAACGCAGAGGCCTGCTCAGGCCCGGGGCCCACACGCAGCCCAAGCTCCAAGGCAGACCGTGGAGCTGGGGAGGCCTCAGGACGTCTGGGGCCGGGGGCCGGATCTGGTTCTGAGGGGAGCTAGGGTGTTTGCCAAGAAACTAGGTCACAGGAGAATGGCAGTGGCAGCGGGGAAACGGGAACAAACGCCTCTCTGAGTGCCACTCCCCAGTGGAGCCGACTTGGGGAGACAGGACCACGTTAGCGTTCTGGCTCAGATATGAATGGGGGGGAGGGGCTGGGATGGATGCTCCTTGCCGCGGACACAGAACGTCCAGGGAGTTGGGTGGAGAGAACTGTGGGTGCCGTTTGTAAATAAATAAGAACACCACATTTAGACTTCTCCACCAAGAGGCTCCCATTCCCCTCCCCACTGCTACCCTGCCTTCAGGGCCTCGAAGGGCCGAGGAAAGAAAATCAAGCCCGGTAGGGAGCTGGCCTGGTCAAGAGGAGCGGGCAAACGGGCTGCCTAGAGCCGCCTCCTGGATGGTTGCAAAGCCCCACACCTGTCCAGGTGTGCCGGGGGCGGGAGCGGGAACCGCTCGACCTATCGCGCGCCATCTGTTCTCGCTCTCCCTCTGCTGCCCCCACCCAAGCAAGGTGAACAGGAACTGGCCCTGGGGCCCTCCTCTGGCCTAGGCGGCTCCCTCCTAACCTTAACACACGCGTGCCCAGGTATACGCCTCCCCTGAGCTGCCTAAAGGCAACTCCACGCCCCTCTCCACATCCCCTCCCGGGCCACCCCGTCACGCAAACCCTGCTCTTCCTGGCCGGACCTCTGTCACTTCCACGTTGAAGACCCGGATGGAGGCTGAGAACGAAGGGATTGGACATTGAGAAGCCTCCTCCCCTGTTGGGGGTTGGGGGAGAGACCCGGGAATGACGACGTGGGCTCTCAGTCCCCATCCCAAGATAACTAGTCCCGGCTCGACTAAGCCATCTCCCAGCCTACACGGGGCGTGAGAGGAAAACAGGCGCAGACCACCAGGCTGGTATCCCGCCGGCCCCGCCCCAACGTCTGTGGTTTCCTCAGCCCCGGGAAGGGGAATCTCGATTTAAGACTCTGAAACTTTCCTATTTTCCTCCTCTAGGCCACAAAGTCAACAGTCAACCCCAAAGTCAAAGGTTAATAAAAATCACCTACATTTTCTACGTGACTGGAGCCTTTCAGCCCAAGGAGGCGAAGGAAGCCCGAGCAGGTGCCGTTTGCGGCTCCCCTTACGAGAACCCAGCCGGCCCGGCGAGGACTTTGGCCTAGCCTGCGAGAAGGGGTCGCGCATCCTCTCCCCGAGCCCCCGTCTGTGCCCAGCTGGTGACTCGTAGGCCTGAGGGCATGGTTGGGGTACCCATCACTCTTTAAGTTCCTCCTGAAAAACGATTCCTGCAAGAGGACCTTCTTAACCCCGGCGCAACCTTCGGGGTTCCTCTGATGAAGTGACTCCTTCGGGGATCGGAGAAGGGGACCCGCTGGGCACCCGGAAAGGTAGCTGGTAGGGGAGGGACCCTTGTTCCAGGAGGGGAGGCGGAGCGCACTCCGGAGGGCTAGTTTCCTGGGGCTGACTCCACGCCTTAAGGGCGGGCGGGCGGGTCGGGGCCGGGTTGGGCACCAGCAGCCACGGGCCGGCCCAGGAAGGACGCGGCATTGCTCAGAGCTGGTCGGACTCCGGTTGGGAGGAGGAGGCTCCCGCGCGGCCCCCGAGCTGGTGGGCGCGGAGCCGAGCCCAACTCTGGCCGCCGTGACGTCACGCGGGCCCGGCAGCCAATGAGGGCCGCGCTGGCAAGGATATTAAGGAAAGTTAGCGCCCGCCTGAGCACCCTCTTTTCTTATCATTGACATTTAAACTCTGGGGCAGGTCTCGCGTAGAAGGCGGCTGTCAGATCTGCCACTTCCCCTGCCGAGCGGCGGTGAGAAGTGTGGGAACCGGCGCCGCCAGGCTCACCTGCCTCCCCGCCCTCCGCTCCCAGGTAACCGCCCGGGCTCTGGTCCCGGCCCGGCTCGGGGCCCGCGCCGCCTCTCAGCTGCCCGTGACGGGTGCCCCCCAATTCCAAGCCCACCTCCAGTAGCCCGGGGGCTTGATTTTTGCCTTTAAAAGAAGGAATACAAAGACGGAGGGGAGTTACGAAGGGCGGAATTGGACAGGGGAGGAGGGGGTGTCTTGTCTTTGCCGAGCGTGCTTTTCCACAAAAGTAGCAAAATGTTTCCAGTCCCCAGAGTGGACTTACCGTTGGGTGTTGGGGTGGGGTGAGAGGGGGCGGGGAGATGGAGACGGGGATCTGCCGCTGCTACCTGCAAAAGCCGTTCGCTACTGTGAGACATGCAGGAGGAGCTCCCCCCGCATCGCAGTTCACCACATTCATGCGCGAAGTCCTCACCCACGCCTGCAGCGCGTGTAGCAAAAGTTTCCCGCGATCGCCAAGTGTCGATGGGCAGACCAAAATAAAGCCGTAGAGATGGGAGTTCGTTCCTCAGAAAGGAGCTGAGGACTAAAGAATGCTGTCGGCGGAGCGGGGCCGCGCGCAAAGCCCCCGGAGTGTGATCTGAGCTTCACTTCGGAAGACCTAATAATTAGCGATTCTCACTGAGCTAGAACGCGGGCTAGGGTTACCGCGGGCGCCGCACTCGCGGCCTCGGTGGGAAGTCGGCGGGCGCCGGCGGACCCCGGACGCTTAGTGCCAGGGAGAGCAGCACCCGCGACGCTCCTGCCCCCGGACGGCTTAAGCCGGGGGCCAGAAGTTTCTCCTAAGTGGGCCAAGGAAGGAAAGACCCCAAACAGACTAACTCGTGGTTCCGCGGGGCGGAAGTTCCGGGAGGCCAGCCATAGGCGGCCGGAGTCGCCGTGGCTGCCTTAGGCAGGGCGGAGCGGCGCCCGCCAGGAGGTTGGGGAGGCGCTAGGGTCAGGCCCGGGCTCTCCCCTTACTCCCACTGTTGCTCCTGGCGCCCCCTCGCTAGAACTTCGGAGGGCTCATCTTTGGAGCACGTTTGTATCGCAGACACCTGTGATGGGTGCTGGGGACCACGGCTTAATTCCGAGAGGTGGCCATCCCCTGCCCAGCTCGCCGGGGAAGCAGGGGGACGAGAAGTGGTCACCAGGCAGAGCACCTTACCTGAATCCGGTTCCTCTCCTCCTCGAGTTCCTTTCTCTGGAGCTGAGGAGCTAGCAGGTGGCCCACTTCTCTGTGGGAAAGTGGACCTTCTCCTCCAGTCATAAATCAAATCCGGCCATCCTCTGGCCTCCTCCCTCATTAGAGATGTTTATTGGAGATTGTGTTTATTCGGCTGTCACGGCGAGAAAACGCAATGATATAATTACCTCTGACCAGAGCCCTCGCCCCGCTCCCAGGGCAAGCTGGAGACCTCTGTCGCCTTCTCACTCCCGTGCCCTCCTCCATCGGAGGGCGTAGGGAGCTGGCTGATCTGTTTTTCCCTTGGACCCTCTCATCTAGTTTGGATTATTGAACGAGCTACTATTCAAATTTCCCCAGGGCCAGGGGTTTGTTTATTTATTTATTTATTTATTTTTAGAATTTGAAAGGAAAACCGAAGGGAACCTAACGCCCCTCCAGGGCGGAAGGGGGCAGCGCGGGAGAAACGGAAGGAGAGTCCTCGCTGCGCAAACTTTCCGGCCCTCCCGGCTGCGGCGGGCGGGGGCCAGACGCCACCCGGCGCCAGAGCCTGGCCAGAACAGTGGGGAGCTGACCCGGAGGGATGGATGCCGATATTGGCCGTGTTATTTGTTGTTTCATTTTCCATTCTCTCTTTTCTCTGGGGGAGGCTTCAGGGCCCCAGGCTGAGGATTCTTAAACTCTTCCAGGCCGAACTCAGGAAGCCAGCCCGCAGCTCCTCGCTCGCATCTCGCCCCGGGGCTGTCCCTGGGCATCGGTTTTCCCTGCTAGCCAGGTTTGTAAGTCATCATCTGTGAGGCTGGGTCAGGAAGTGATGAAAAGCGCCGAATTGTTCTCTAATTGAAAAGTACTGTGTGTGTGTGTGTGTGTGTGTGTGTGTGTGCGCGCGCGCGCGCGAGTGTGACCGCGCTGACAAATATCTGGGATCCCGGCTTTTGATCCGTCACTGCCGCTTCTGTTCTCCAATCGCTAATAAAACTCGCATTGAGCCTTTCAGTGGCTTGATTAACAGACATATTAACTCTTACTGGGGTGGGGAACAGCTTGTCCCAATCAATGTCATTTTAAGAGCCGTCAGGATACGCTTAGCTCCGGTTCCCTGGCTGCTCAAGCGAACCAGCCATGACATTTGCTCCCTCCCCCTTCCCCAGTTTCAAATCCCTCTGCAAAGCCCCCAGTTCCCAGCCCGAGTGTTCCCTGCTGCACTCTAGGACAAATTATGGACTCGGTCCCTGGCCTTTAAAATAGCTGTTTAGAGAAGGGATCTGCAGGGAGAAAGGACTGAGGTGGCTTTGGCTTGCTTTTCACTTGAAGCTGAACTCTCGCCTGTTGAAAGCAGAGGTTATGGGAAGGAGAGATGGGGTACCATCCTGGGTGACAAAGTGGAAAGCAAGCTTTCCTGGGAAGCCTATTTGCAAAAATCAGAGAGTGCCACTGATTGCAAATGTCCTACACATCAGGAGTTTCAAACCTGGTTCCTATCTGGACAATAGCATGTAAGTTCCAGGAAGCAAAGGCTTGGGGATCCTCTGGGAAACCCAGTTGGACAACGTTTTTTAAAAAGCGTTTGGAGGAGGGGGTAGAGAAAGAGAGATGCTTGCCGCCTAATGTGAATGGAAGAGGACCTAGCCTACTTGTCATTGGGCAGGAGGCGAGGACAGGCCAGGGCAGGCCGGGGTTCCGAGGCTTTCCCCAGCCATGCCTGACCACAGACTGGAGGCTCCACCAGGCCAGCTCCCGACTTCTTCCGGCCTGCCGGGCACCCCAGGCTCTGTGAGGCTGCTGGGTGAGCTGGGAACCTGCAGGTTGATGGAGGAAGGAGAATGAGAAAGGCCTCGAGTGGAGGAGGCAACTGGAACTGGGCAGGAGGGGTGGGCGCCTTTGCCTGTCGTATTCATTTGACCCCTTTCGCCAGCTCTGCTATCGAGGGAACCCACCTGCCAGGGCTAGCAAACAGAGAGCCTTTGGAGTCTCTGCAAAGTGGCGCAGGTGTCTGGGGGGACTTTTCTCCTTCAAAGGAAAGCTGGTCCCCGCCCTTCCCAGAGCGCCAGCACTGTCCCTGCGCTAGGCGCTGAAAAAGGGCATTCTGACGTGTCGCAACACCGGGTGGGAGAGTCTTGGTTCCCAAGCCCAGAACCAAAAGCACATCTCCCAAGAGCTGAGCACGTCGTTGCCTTGCCAGAGGCCGCCTCCAGACCGGAAGCCTGGGGAGCGGGCAACCGCTAATTCCTGGGACCGCTGGTGGTGAGATGCTGCCCGATCTCACATTTATGAACCAATACCGGCCAGAGGCTTCCTGCGCTCTCGGGTGAGCCGCGAGCCTCCGCACAGGCAGCCTCCCCTACCGCGTGGGGTGACCCCGGCGGCCCCTGCGGCAACCGGCCGGGGAGCTGTCCGCCCTGGGCGCCGGGGAGGAGGAGAGGAGACTTGCGGAGAGGCGGGAAAAGGCGAGGCAGAAGCCGAAGGCACGATCCCCTCTACTCCCCCACTGCGGCCTGGAAGGGTCTTGGTCGTGTTGGGAGCCGCAATTAAAATGGCGACCTGCGAGCTGTCTCAATTTTGGTCACACCTCTGCTTCTGGCGCGCTGTACCTCGGTCCCAGTCCCCCACCAGCCGCGTCGCCCGCAGAACAGGTACTTTGCAGAGGGCACGAGGCGCCCCGCGAGGTAGAACAGCACCCCCATCCTCTTTGAAACTAGCTCAGAGAGAACAGGAAATCGCGCTCTCCGACCCTCTGTCTTTAAACTTTGAAAACTCTGCCTCCCTTGGGTCTGGCTCTTCCCTCCTCCCCCCCCCCCACCAAATATTGACACACTGGAAACAGCTAAGTCCTTTTTGTTTCTTGTTTGTGCAGAGGGGTTTCCAAGAGTCCTTCCCTGGGCCCCCACCCCCACCCAATGACGTCAGTGGCATTCACTCCCAGCTCCTCGCCTCTTATGATTTTTTTTTTGTTGTTAAAACTTTTCTCCGAGGTGAGATAGGGGTTGGGGGGTGGGAGAAGGAGCCGATTCAAAGAGCAAGTGCCCAGGGGGGAAATAGCAACAAGATTACGGCCGCTTCTTTCCGAGGCAAAGCTTAAGAAGGTGCTAATCCACTCGGTCGCTAATTGAAAGGTTGTAGAAATGATATTCGCCTCCAGTTCGGACAGAGTCTCCGGGCCTTCCCCCGCCCCTCGCTCATGCCCAGTGGACTTGAATTCAAGCTGCTTTAATGCTTGTTTGAAAAAGTAAAAAGGAGAGGAGAAGGACGCAGGCTCTCGCTGCTCTGGCCCCGGGATCGGGAAAAGTCGCGGTCCTACGAAATCTTGCCGAGGAGACCGCTGCTGCCCCGAGCGCCGGGTGCCACCTGCTTCACGCCTGGCCTGCGCTTTCTCCGGGCGCCGAGCGCACCTGGGCCGAGGGAGGGGCGGGTGCCAGGCCGAGGAAGCGAGCGGGCCGCGCTGCTCCGACCCTGGCCCGGGCTGGGGGGCCTCCTCCGCTCTCTCCGAGCTCTGCCCGAGCTTCTCGGTCGCCGCGTCACTGCGTCCGGGCTGGGGGACGAGAATGCGAGGCCCGCACTAGGCCCCGCGGCACGAGGCAGCCTGCAGCGCGCCCCTGGCCGCGGCTCTCAGCGCCGACACCGCGCTGCCTGTTGGCGGCGCGTCCCGGGTGGACGGACTTCACTGATGCGCTCTGACTTTCAGCACTTTTCTTCAGAGGAGTCAGGCGTCCGCGGCGGGGCCTTCGCTTCAGCCTCCCTGCCTCAGCTCTCCCAACCATATACTTTGCCGGGTCTTGGGGTGCGCCCCCCGTCCTCAAACCTCCCCTTGGCCCCGCGCTGCGGTCTGCAAGCTCCCGGGGAGCGCGGGACTTCGCGGGGCGAGGCGGCCGCTCTCTTCCTGTCACCTTAACTGCGGCTCCGAGGGGCGCCTTTGGAGTGTACTGAGGTGTGTCCTAATTGTCCGGCATTCAACAAATGGACTTCTGGTGTGTGGTCAGAAGAGAAAAGTCATTTACTTACTTTCCTCCCTGGTTTTCTGGCAACAGTTGAAGGGGAGCTGCCTCCGTGGACTGAGAAGACCTAGGAGAAGGAGTCGTGGTGCCGACACACCTGCACCACACACAGATAACCTGTGGCACACGCCGACACACGCTGACACACCGACATCGCCAGAAGGGACACACACGCGCGCGCGCGCGCGCACACACACACACACACACACGCTCTCTCTATCCCAGCACTGGTCATCCCCTCCCCTCCTGTCTCCCCTTGGCGTCCCCTCCTCTCGGGCGCTTGGAAAAGCAGCCGCACTTAGTCAACAAATGGCACGTGGGAGAAGTTGGTGAGTGTTTGGTGAGGACTCTTCAGGGCTTTTCACAAGAACCCTCTGTACACAGAGTAAGTGGCGTGTTTGCTCGGGCCTCTCCAGCCCGGCTGTGTCTCCGCTCCGCTGCGCACCGAGGCTTCCGAAAGGAAAAAAAGAACAGAAGAAAGGGTCGGGGGAGCGAGGGGGGTGGGGGAATGGGCAGGCTCGGGAGGCCTGGACTGGGAAGGCGGCCCGGCCTCGCCGAGTTTTCATCCTGGTGGCCTCCTCTCGGCCTAGGCTTCCCCTCGGCCTCCGCCGGAGTGTTGCAGCCGAGGCCCAGTGTTGCTCCCGCCCCCTTTCTCTCCTTCCCAGTGGCCAGGTGGGCTAGGGCGCGGCCACTGCTGTGCTCCTCTTCCCAGCGCCCAGGCGAAGACCTGGCAGGGGCGGGAGCGGAGGGCGGGCGGAGGCGGGGCGGCCGGCCAAGCTGCGGGGATGGAGGCAAGAAAGGGCTCTGCAGAGCTGCAGAAACTTGCTTCCCCCCTGGAGTTGGGAGTTCCGTGCCCGGCTCAGGGAGGTGGGGGGCGCGACCCTCAGCCCAGCGGCCTTCAATCGACCCCTCTAATTTGCGGCCACCATGTGGACCGCGCCGACTCCCGGAGCTCGCGGAGCCTAGAGATGTCGTCAAGCGCCAGCTCCAGAGCCCGGGAGCGGGGGCCCAGCGCCGGGGAGAGGAGCCTCGACCCACCGGCGGAGCCGATAACAAGTGTATTCATATTCAAACAAACGGACCAATTGCACCAGGCGGGGAGAGGGAGCATCCAATCGGCTGGCGCGAGGCCCCGGCGCTGCTTTGCATAAAGCAATATTTTGTGTGGGAGCGAGCGGTACATTTGCATGTTGCGGAGTGATTAGTGGGTTTGAAAAGCGAACCGTGGCTCGGCCTCATTTCCCGCTCTGGTTCAGGCGCAGGAGGAAGTGTTTTGCTGGAGGATGATGACAGAGGTCAGGCTTCGCTAATGGGCCAGTGAGGAGCGGTGGAGGCGAGGCCGGGCGCCGGCACACACACATTAACACACTTGAGCCATCACCAATCAGCATAGGTGTGCTGGCTGCAGCCACTTCCCTCACCCACACTCTTTATCTCTCACTCTCCAGCCGCTGACAGCCCATTTTATTGTCAATCTCTGTCTTCTTCCCAGGGATCTGAGAATTGCTCTCACACACCAAACCAGCAGCATCCGTGGAGAAAACTCTCGCCAGCAACTCCTTTAAAGCACCGTCATTTCAAACCGTTGTGGTCTTTAAGCAGCAATAACAGCCAAAACACCCCAACCAAACAAAACTCTTGACAGGAGCTTTGACGGGAGAGGATGCCTCACAAAGGTGAGTCCGCTTCTTTCTTCTCGCTTCATTTTTGTTGCAGTGTTCAGGCAGGTATCTCCCTTCCTCCCCCTTCCTTCCTCCCCTTTCACCGGTGCCCTCCCCCATTGCTTCGCCGGGAGAGTTGGGCCGGAGAAGTTTCCACGCAGGAGCCCAAACTTTGTACTTCCAGCGAAAGCCCGCGGCCGGCGACCGGGAGCGGCGCAGGGCTCGGGGCGGGCGGCCGGCTCATCCCCAGCGCCCGCGCGGGCTGAGCTCGCAGGAAGAACCCAGGCTCCGGGAGCAGCAGAAGCCGTGGCTCCCCGCCCCAGCGTCGCCAAATGCTCCCGGCCGGCGGGAGAGGAGGGAGAGGCTCTGCGTTGTCCGAGGCCCTGGGACGGCCGCCGGGACCTCCAGCCGCCGGTGCTTTGTCCTGCGGAGGGCCCAGCGAGCGCGCAGGGAGCGGGCACACCGAGGGAGCGCCAAGGAAGCCGGCTTGCTGCGCTGCCGCCCGCTCGCCCGCCCGCCCGCCGCCTTTGTGCCGCGCTCGGCCCGGGCACAGAAGTCCGCTGGCACTGGAGCGCCGAGGGGCACCGCGCCCGCCGCCCGCTCGAGCAGAGTCAATCGGCAAGGCAACCGCACGCTGGAGGCAGAGAGACCGAGCGTGTGAGCGGGAGCCGGGAAGGAAGCCGCCAGGCCACAGCGGCCGAACGCGCGCTCCGAGGGAGCTCAGAGTCGGGCCCAGGATTGTCAGCTTCCATCAAGCCCTCAGGCGCTTGTCCCCAACTGGAGGGCAGAGCTCGGAACTTGAAAACTCTCTGCTTCCCAGGCTTCCCCCAACCTTCGCCCTCGCCCTGCGAAAGCTGGGGTCTTCCCTGTCCTCCAGCCCCCGGCGCTCGGTGGGTATTTTTCCTTGTCTTACCCTGACAAAGCTGCACCCGGTGTTGCCATGCCATTTCAACAAGTTTCGAGGTGGAAAAGTGGATTGCTTTTTTTTTTTTTTTTTTAAGTCTGAATTCACTGGATTTTTCTTCATGAGGCTTAAAAAAAAAATTAAATATGAAAGCACTGGCTTTCGCCTTCGTCTGATCACATCCTCTCCCAGCTAATTAGTCTGAGTAATTTGAGAGCTTTTCGATTGATTCTAAGACCCCAGGAGGAAAAGTGTCTTTTCAAAGTTCCAAAAGTTGTTGCCTCTTTCTTTTTGCAGATTTTCTCAGTCTCTGTGTCCCACAATAGCCCTGAATTTTAGCAAGTGTAATTGGGGGGAAATGGAGTTGAATTTCAAGTGGAAATGCTTGCTTGCTTGCTTGCTTTTCTTTTTCTTTCTTTCTTTCCTTCTTCTTCTCCTTGTTCTTCTTCGTCGTCATCGTCTTCTTCTTCTTCTTCTTCTTCTTCTCCTCCTTCTTCTTTGTCTTCTTCTTCTTTGAGTGCTAAAACCCAGCCCTATAGTCTAGAATGATTTCTACAAAGTTAAAAAACAACGTTGAACATGCTGTCTTTTTCTCTCATACTTTACAAAGCTCCCTAAGCCATTTTGGGTGTTTAGCTCGAACTTGGAAAGGTTGAGGAAGGGGTGCGAACAGAAAATGAAATAAAAAGGAAAGAGCTTGAAAGCCTGGTGAGTTTACCGAGGAGAAATAATAGTTGTCGCCATTGACATTACATTTTTTATAGCCGGTGACCTTTGCAAATGGCTGAAGGCAATTTGATTAGTTGTTATCTTATTTGGCCCAAGAGAGTAAAACTTTGTCATCGTAATTGCTAATTACTTTTTGACTGGGAGCCGGAAGGGTCGAAAGTGAGCTCTCCCCTTCACCCCAGCTAAGGAGTTGGGGGTTGGATTTTGAGACGTAATTAAAACAAGAGTATTTGAGAGCTGAGGCTTGTGTCAGGGAGGCAGTGGCCGAGTGGCCCAGTGGCCCAGTGGCCCAAGGCCCTGGCAATTTCCAGAAGTCTGGAAACTCCTTCATTCCAGGCATGGGTCTGTGACCTGGCTAGGGCTTTACGAAGCTGCAGGCTGAGCCGGGGGGCCTCTGGCTGAGGCTGGGAGGGGGGGTGGTCTCACATTTCTGCACAGGACTGCTTCCAGGTGTCCATGTGTCCTACGTCCGGAGGTGCTTTTGCACTAAGTGTTAGCTATTACTTAAGTAATTAGATAGCTTCTTAGCCGAGATCGGGGTGGTGTTTGGGGGGGGGGTGTGGAATGGAGCAGGAAATGCTTCCACCTTCCCAGACGCTTTGAAAATTAATCAGTTAGGTCTCTTTGGAACCTGCTACTAAATTTTTGAAAATAGCATCAACAATGTACGGGCTCAGATGGGGGCATTCAGTGGTTATTGAGTACAGAGTGGGTTACAGAGAGTAGTTCTGGAAGTTTTACCCCTCCTAGGAGAATTCCGCTACCCTTCTCCCCGCCTGCTGCCACTTTGCAGTTTCAGAGTCCCACTTTCAGGATGGGGCAGGGGATGCATTCTGTTCCAAGCTGGGGTTTCTGCCTGGCGGGGGCCGGACTGCGGTCACGGGGCCTGAGAGGCAGGCAGGAGGCCTTGAGAGCCAACCCAGCCAGGCACAGCTAGGGAGCCCTCTGCCATCTCCAATATTTGCCTGGCTGTATTTGGAAGCCGGGAAAAAGTCCTCCTCTTAAGATTATTTTTTATAAATTTAAGCTGCTTCCCAGCTAGGTAATCAATTAGACCATGAATAGCTTTGGAGAGAAGAATGTGCTTCTTAGGATTCCTTACTTGCGGGCAGGAAAATTAATAATCACAATAGGCAAAACAGAAAAAAGAATGAACATTTTAGTTTTTATAACAGGGAGAAATGATGCTGTAACTATTTAATTATTTTACTTCTTCTTCTTCTTCTTTTTTTTTGCAAACCCCTTGAATGGGCTCTTTATTGTAATTCTCTCTTCCCAATTGAGCTCCCCACGGTGCCGTTGTATCTTTTTACAGCCCCTAACAACTCACACCAGTAACACAATTACCTCCAGATATTTATAACAAGAAATTACTTTTCTATTTTCTGCCCCCTCCTCCAGAATCTTCTTCTTAAGGGAAGGCAGGGAAGGGTGGTGGAGGGTGAACCTCTGGGAGACACGTACTAGGTCAGGATTTACAAAGCAAGAAGTGTCTCTCTTTTCCCTTTGTGAGTTGGTGGGTTGTTGGTGCGTGCGGTTGGAAGCTGTGTTGCTGGTTAGGGAGACTCGGTTTTGCTCTTTGGGTTTGGGGAGAGCTGGAGAATAGAAGCCATTGTTCGCCGTCTGTAGGCTTTGTCGACCACGCTCACCCCCTCCTGTTCGTACTTTTTAAAGCAGTGAGGCGAGGTAGACAGCGTGTGTCACAGTACTGTAAAAGGGGGGAAGATCTAAACACCAAAAGAAAAGTTTATCACAATAAGTAAGGTTTGGGGGAAAAAGTTGGGCTGCCACATTCAACGTCCCAGAAAGACTGGGAGATGTGTGGAGTGGGGGCCTGGCTGGGAAGCTTTGAAGGGGAGAGTAATGTATAAAGGGGTAAGCAGAGAGTTGGGTTCTGGAATGGTAAAATTCCAGAACCCAACTTTGGCAAATAGAATGGTGAAATTCCTTAAGGAGAAAGTATTTCTCTGCAGCCCTCCTGATCAGCCCCAGCCTTCACTTTCAGGCACCCTGAAGTTCAGAGGTCCTCTTCCCCTCATCTCTAAACTTCAGGTATTATTCCTGAGCCTCTACCCCTTGTTCCACTGTTTCTTTTGTTCTCTCTTTTTCCATTCCCTGATTCTTGATATTTTTGCAAAACGGGACCTGACTTGTGAGATTCTCCAGTTCTCCCAAGCCAGGCCAGAGCAGCCACTTCTAAAAAAGTGGAGATTTCTGCAGGACTAGCCGCTGAAGATGTGGGTGTAACTCTGAGATTTGGGCCCTAGATGTGTATTTTTGTTTTGTTTTGTTTTGTTTTGTTTTGTTTTCTGAGAGTGTGGCTCAGAGAGCCGATGGGCCTGTGCTTTTGAGCCACAGTTTTGATATGCCTTTCTTTCCTTCTGTTTTATCTTAGGGGGAAGACTTTAACTAGGGGCGTGCAGATGTGTGACATCTTTTATTGTAAGAGTGGACAGACATCCCAGATTTCAGGCAAGTTCTGTGGTGGCTTGAAAGCTGCTTTGGGCTCCAAAACCCTAAAGAACCAGAATGCTTCTCTATTGTTGTTCATATGGAAGAAAAAAAAATTCAAAATTGGGTCATCCTTTCTCCTGATTAAAAGGTTGACTGCTTGGGGATTTGGAAGAAACAGGTTGGGAATACTGGAGTATTTTATTTGTAGAGCTTGCATGCACTGGAGGGGAGAGCTGGATGACCCTCAGATGGCCTTACGCAATTGAGTGGATCATTTCCTAAAGAACAGGTAGTCTCCTGTCCTGGCTCCAGGTCAGCCCCTGTCGGAGGGTAGGCCTGCCTGGCTGGGCCCCAGGATTAACGCCTATATTCTTGCTAACAGAGTCTCATATTCAAGCCCCGTGGGATCCCGCGGCCCCCAGCCAGCGCCAGCATGCAGAACAGTAAGTTCCTCTGGTCTTTCTCCAACTGGGCTAGGGATGTGAGGACCACTGGGTCAGGGAAGGCACAGAGGTTCCTGCCATCAGCGATGGCCAGGCCACAGGGTGTGAGGGAAAAGACCCTCTTGAGTTTGTGAAGCTGAGGTAGGGAAACCCCATCCCCCCAAATCCTGTAACTCACACCCCCCTCCCCGCCCCTGCCCGGACTCTGACCCCAGAGAGAGGGGCTGGGCTGAGCAGGGCTGGGCGGAGGCTTCTCCTGCTTGCTGGAGGAGAAGGGGGCCCCTTCAGGCTTAGGCAAGACTGAATGTCTCCACCCTCTGGATGGGGTGTTGGGGCACCCCTCCCCCAGTCAATCCCAGGGCAGCTCCTCTCCACCCACCTCCTTAGGGATCTAGGAGGCCAGAGAGGCGGACACCAGGCCTGCAATGGGGTGGAAGTGATAAACTCGACCAAATAGGCTGTTGGCAGGCTCTGGCAGAGCAGATTTCTTGGGTCTGGGAAGAGAGTTGCCGGTAGAGCAGAGGAGTTGGAAAAGCCCAGCCCTGGTAGCTGCAAGTGTGTGGGTCCTGGTTGTTCCAGATCCGTAGCGTCTTTGATTCCCGGTTCTTGAGCCTCCCATACGCCCTTTGCCCAGGTCTCTTGGACCCCCAGGGGTTCACCTTCCTGCTCAGTCCCAGTGTATTGGTAGCGGCAGGGCTAGTTTGGAGCCTGGGCCTGGGAGACTCCTTGGGCAGGTCCAGTGAATCCTAGACCCTGGTTGAGGGGCAGAATCTAGATGCGGTTTAAGGGCTCAGCTGAGGCAGTGCAGAGAGGCCCCAGTCCTCTAGCAGCCTTCCCTTGCCAGAGATGCGGGCTTAGGAGAGTGCCTAGCATCGGATCCATCTGTCCTAGAAGCGCTAGCCGCCTCCTGGTGCTTCCTTAGCTGGTAGGCTCAAAGCTCAGGACAGGGCGCAAAGGTGGTGAGCTTTACGGGGGTGAGGGGTTAGTTGTGCAGAACATGCCAGGCCCCGGGCTTAGCCCGGGAGGCACCCTTCTTGGCAAGGCGAAGGCTTCTGCCCACCCCTCCCGGCTGCTGGGTTCTCCCCCTGCAGCTCAATCTCCCTAACCATAGGTTCTCGGGGCTGCCCGGCTGGGGCGCACAGCGCTGAGCATTTGCCGCTGCGGCCTGGCTGGCAGGTCCCGAGGGGCGGTGGGGTCGCGGGCTGGCCTGCAGGGCTTTGTGCTGCTTGCTCCCGGGTGTGCGCAAGGCGCAGAGCATCCAAATTGACACCATATGTTTTCCTATTAGATGCTTCGCGGTCGAATTCTAGGCGCATAATCATCGCCACTGGGCGAGAGCGCAACCCGTCCCTTGGGAAGGGACACAATGATTGAGGCTTAACCTCTGTAGGGGAACTTAGAGAGCGGCGTTTTTTCGCTGCCATTTCGATGCTGGCAGAGGTGACCTGGTCTTGGCGTCTCCTGGGCGAGCACCTGCCCTTGGTCCCTGCGGAGGTGGTGGGCATGTTGTTTATTTATCTACCTATCTATTTATGTGTGTGCGTATTTATTTATTTGCACTGGGGAGAGAAGGAGGGAGATCTAGGATTAGGCAGCCTCACATGCCTTGCCATTCATAGATTGGGAATGCCCAGGCTATGCGAGAAGTTTGGAAAGTCTTTATGGTCTCTCTCTGGGACAGCATTTCTTTCTGGGAAGGCTTCTTTTGCCCAAAGGGGAGGCCCTGTAATTGAGGGTGAGGGGGTGGGAGATGGGTCCTGCCAAGCAAAGGAAGGCAGTACAGGCAAGCTGAGAGAGACCAGAAGCACCGACTAGGCCTTGCTCTGTTGGAGAAGCGCTGTCCCCTCGATGTCCCCGCTCATGCTGGGCCCTGCCAGAGCCCAGATCCCCCAGACACCTGTCACTTCTTATCGAGTTTAGGCTCCAGCCTCCCCTCTGAATGAGAGCCCCCTCACCCCCAAGCCTTTAGCTACCCTGAAAACATGGCTCCCCTCGAAGGAGAAAGGAGTGCAGTTCAGTCTCATCTGAGTGATCTACAAATAGGGACAGAAAGGGTCGTTTTATCACGGTCCCGTTTGTCGTGACGATGCAATTTCCTGGAGCGGAGCACTGTCACAAAGTGACAAGGCTGCCACAAGCGCCCCAACTGATCTTTTCAATTAGCCTTCCATGCATGATCTGGAGCGACTTCCGCCTATTTCCAGAAATTAAGCTCAAACTTGACGTGCAGCTAGTTTTATTTTAAAGACAAATGTCAGAGAGGCTCATCATATTTTCCCCCCTCTTCTATATTTGGAGCTTATTTATTGCTAAGAAGCTCAGGCTCCTGGAGTCAATTTATCAGAGGCACCAAAGAGAAGAGAGGAGCGGAGAGGAGAGGAGAGCTGAGCAGGGAGCCACGTCTTCTCCTGGAAGGGCTGCTCTCTAGAGTCGGGGCTGCAGGTTGGAGATTTTTAAGGAAGTGGAAGTCGTCAGTTGGCTTTATTTGTGTGCCTGTGGTTTCTGGGGAGGGGGGGCTACAGAGAGGTGCTAACTTATTCTCCCTGTTCTCTAAGATTAGACAATGGGAAGAGGCTGTGAAATAACAAGATAAGGGAGGGATGAGGGACAATGTTGTGGTGTGGTCTTTTCCTTTGCTTTTTGATTTTTGCTAATATCTGTCCTTGGCTGTGGGGAGGGCTGAGATCAGCAGCAGAAGTAGACCTAGCTGTGGCCGCTGTGAGCAGACGCCAAGCTCTGGCCCCGCTGCCCGCAGCAGCCGGACTGCCTTGTGGTCGGAGCGGATTTGGGGCTCTGACTCTCCTGCCTGAGGCGGAGGTGCTGAAACCCAGGAGGGGGGGCTCATTAGCCACAGATTTGCTCTTCTGGTTCTTCTCTACTCCTTCGCCTTCTCTTCTCCTATATGTGTATCTTTTAACCCCGGTGCTTGTGCGGTGCCTTCGCCGGAGTTTGGAATGTGACAGCAAACGTTTCTGGACTCCAGCTTCCACAGGAGCGCTGAAGGGCTGTAGCATTTGCTTTCGCAGTTCCAACAATGCCGAGAGCTTGGAGATTCAGTGTGGGTTCTGTAGAGCCACAGTTTGCCGTGACATTCAGGAGAGATCTTTGAGAAGATATTTTTCCAGCCGATTGTTTGAATCTTTTGGGTTCAGAGGCTGGGCGGGGGGTTTATGAAGAGGGACAGTGGGCTGCGGACAGTGCTGGGGTGGTGGCAATAGTGAGGTGTGTGTGTTCTTGCCCCTTGGTGTGTGTCTGCCTGTCTGGTGCTTCTGCAGTGGGGTGGGCAAGGGCATGACTGTGTCTGGGATTGGGTTGCCCTATGCCCCGCACGGCTACGTGCTCCTGTTGTCGTTTATGATCGATGGCAGTGGCCTGATCACAGACGTTGGCAGGGGTTGGCAGGGAGCTGAGGATGCATTGTGGTTGTTTTCTCCTTCTCCTCCTCTTCCTCCTCCTTTCTTCTCCACTCTTTCTCCTCTCCTCTCTTTTCCTCTCTTCTCCTCTCCTCTGCCTTTCCTCAGGTCACAGTGGAGTGAATCAGCTCGGTGGTGTCTTTGTCAACGGGCGGCCACTGCCGGATTCGACCCGGCAGAAGATCGTAGAGCTAGCTCACAGCGGGGCCCGGCCGTGCGACATTTCCCGAATTCTGCAGGTGATCCTCCCGGCGCCGCCCCAATCGCCGCCCCCGCGGCCCTCCACTTTCAACGCCCTCTCTTCATTTCTTATTGCAAACGCTGCTAATTATGGACCCCCCACCCTCACCCCCCCACCTCAGTCCCCACCCCACTGCCCTGTCTACCCGCTTTCCCCTCTCCTTCCACCATCCTTCCCTATCTCTTTCAACCTGGCTCAGTCACATAACTCATCTGCTTAAGAAAAAAAAGTGTGTGAATTAGAGGAAAAAAAAAAACTTTCTCTTTTCTTTGGTAAAAAATATTTATGTTTTTAAGTGTATTATAGTTTATGTACTATAATAAGCTGAGTTTTAAAAATTCGGCATAATTTCATTTCCTTCCCTCTCATCCCATGCTTACCTTAGATTTCGAGCTGTTGGTTTGCATTCTTCATATTCATGAAGAATTATATTGATTAAAAAAACAAAAACAAATGCTATTTGCCTCCTTCTATAACTCACATTTACTTAATTGGGTATATTTTTAAAGGAAAAATAAAATTAAATTCAGTTTATTTTCCCCTTTTGTTCATTAAAACCTAGCACCACTTTAAACAAGGTCAGCACGCACAAAAACTCTGACTTCGTTTTGATGCATCTTCAGGCAGTGTTTAAGAAAACAGTTTTTTAATTAAAAAAACTTTTAAATTAGTTTTTTTTAAGTTCAAACTGTTTGAAAGTATCATCATATTTGTAGTTTTTAGGGCTACAAGTGTAATTTTAAGAAAAAAGCTCTCTACAGTAAGTTCTCGTACCATTGAAGGTATATTTTTGTGTTATAGACCCATGCAGATGCAAAAGTCCAAGTGCTGGACAATCAAAACGTAAGCTTGTCATTGTTTAATGCATACTTAAACAATTTTATTTTTGTCTTGAAATTATTAATAATGTGGTTTTCTGTCCACTTCCCCTATGCAGGTGTCCAACGGATGTGTGAGTAAAATTCTGGGCAGGTATTACGAGACTGGCTCCATCAGACCCAGGGCAATCGGTGGTAGTAAACCAAGAGTAGCGACTCCAGAAGTTGTAAGCAAAATAGCCCAGTATAAGCGGGAGTGCCCGTCCATCTTTGCTTGGGAAATCCGAGACAGATTACTGTCCGAGGGGGTCTGTACCAACGATAATATACCAAGTGTAAGTTCACTGAGAACATCCCCCTCCCTGCCCTAAGCTTTATGCTCTCTCTGCTTTACCATCTCTTTCTTCACCTCCTTCTACTCTCTTCCCTACCAGTGTCGGTCTCTTATCTCCTCCCTTCTCCACATATGTCTCTGTACCTGGGGCTGTTGAAAGGAGCATCCAGGCCTTTTCTTGACTGTCTGGGAAGTGGGAGTCAAGTGTGGGGAGTTGCTCACCTCATTTGCATGCTGCAAAGTAGAGGGCTGAGGCACCTGGGGAAAAGCATTTGAATCAAGAAGGAAAATGAAAATGGAAATCAGATTCTAACCTCCTCCTAATCCACCTGCTGAACCTTTTTCAGGCATCAAACATCCCTTTCTGCTCCAATGTAAAACAAAGTGGGGACAAAAGCTCTAAACCAACTATAAAATTTTGGCGGAAAATCTGTTAAGAAAGCAAAGCAGCCATATGAGTTAGGTCACCAGAGGCACGCAGCACCAGTCCAGGGCCCCTTCCCCTCCTCCAATTCTGACCTGACTCAGTCTCCATGCCCAAAGTGATGGCTGTCATTCTGTCCTCTATGTCCTTGCAAATCTATCTCTACCGTCCTAGGATGGCTGGGAGGGTTTTTGTTTGTTTGTTTATTTTAATGTGTTAAGGGTTTCTCTTTGGGAGGGGTAGGCATGCTGAGATGGGGACTGAAGGCAGGGAGAGCTTGTCCTCAGGAGGCACTACCATTAGTTTGATTTTGGTTTGATTTGCAGGTGTCATCAATAAACAGAGTTCTTCGCAACCTGGCTAGCGAAAAGCAACAGATGGGTGCAGACGGCATGTATGATAAACTAAGGATGTTGAATGGGCAGACCGGAAGCTGGGGCACCCGCCCGGGTTGGTATCCGGGGACTTCAGTGCCAGGGCAACCTACCCAAGGTAAAACCCCAAGCACCCACCATCTAAACTCTGTATACGCAGCCCATTTTCTTCTCCCCCAGCCTTTCTCTCTCCAGGCCTCTGCTTGGAGAATGTAGTGGGGAGACTACTCAAAGTCTCGGGACACATAGGTGGTGTTTGTTAAACTATCTGGTTGGCCTGGGAAGGTACCGGCTGTATCTGTCAGGAGTAGTATGAATGGGCTGGTGTGTGTGTGTGTGCGCATGTGTGTTATGGGCAGGAGTGTATGTGTGTAAGAACTAGCTGCATGGTACCCTATTCAAGTGTTCCATTAAAATGCACGAAGAGCCCCTTTGCCATAGAAGTGTGACAAGTTAACACTGACAGACTGTGAGGTAAACATAATTGTATCAGTTTGCTTTTTGCCGTAATTGACAAATTATATGACTATGAATAGGGCGCATATGAGAGAGGGTGAACAGAGAAATGCTGGGTGGAGCAGAAGCTGGGGCATTGGAAGTGGGGGTCTCCCAAAGAAAACACCCCCACACCTCCCTCTCCTTCCTTCTGCGCTCCCAGTTCTCACTCTCTGTGGGTGATGACTGCTTGGAAGGTGGAGTGGCAACACCGTAAGCCAGACTTAAGGCTGCTTTGGGGCTGGGAGGAGAGATGGGACCTGGTCCCTTCCAGCATCCGTGAGAAGGGATGGAGGAAGAGGAGCAGACAGGGGTGGGGTGGGGCCGGGTGGGGCCGGGTGGGTCTCCCCTCCCCGACACACACCGAGGTAGCTTGGTCAAGAATAGGAAACAGTTTACTCGGAAGATTAATCGGTATTTGTTGTCCTCGTGACAAGGAGATAATATGCGGGATAATGGGACGTGGCGTCTCACTCCCCGGAGCACGACGAAGCCTGGAGGCTCCGGGCAGGGGGGGCGGGGGCAGCGGTGCAGGGTGCGGGGATGCTGCCGGGGCTGCCCGCGTGCGCGTCCGAGCGCTCTCCGACCTGCTCAGGGTGCCCCGCGCCTCCACGGAGCTGGACGAGAGAAGGGAAAATCGGTAACAGTATGCGAAATATCTGGTACAAAGGATGCTTCTGTCATTCGCAAGAATTTGTTATGGGAACAATCCTGTCGCTCTGTAATTGCTCATTAGAGAACGTTTTGTTTCTCATTAAGGCGACATGAATAAGCGTCTAGTTGAAGGAGACAGCTGTAGAAATGTTCCACAAGAGACCTCTGGACACGATTCGGCACCAATTGCCAATTAGACATGTCAGTTTTAAGAGCAGAAAACAATATAGGACGGACACTGGGAAGATAGGGAGCAAAGCGCTCGCTCCGGTTTCCCAGCGCGGCCTCCCGGCGGGGGCCGCTGAGGCCTGGCGACGCGCAGAAGGCCGGCTCCCCTGGGCGACGCTGCCCGCGGGATCGCCCGGTGGCTCTGCACCGCAGCCTCCCACCGCGCGCAGCGGGCGCACCCGAGCAGGCGGTGCCCCCAACCGGGCTGCAGGCCCAGGCCCCCTCCAGCTTCTGGTGAGGACGAGGGAGCGACAGGGCTGAGTGTAGACCACCACACCCTCATCCGACCTTTGAAACTAGGGTTTCCCCGAGCACACACTGGACACACCCAAGTGAAAAGGCACTTCACACTTGCTTAGCGCCTGCCCGCCAGCCCCACAGCAGTCCGAGGCCCCGGGGACCACGCCCCTGCGCGGTCTAGCTGCGTGAGGAGTCTGGGGAGGGTGCAGGGCACAGTGGCTGGGCCTGGAACAGGGGAGCCACGGGCCTCCTCGCCCTGGCCCCCTCGGCTGGGGGGCTGGCTCCCAGTAGCTTGGGGCCAAAAGCACGGACACCCCCTCCTGCTTCCCAGAACCCCGACAGAGGCCGAAAGATGCAGCTTTGCTAGCCCCTCCACTTTCACCGAAGGCGGCACCTGATCAGGGCAGCTTTTTGTCGAGGGGAACTTGAGGGCGGGAAGGGGGAGCCTCGCCACAAGGACGTGGTGGTGGTGGTGTTGGGGCGGGAGGTGGCGCTCGTTCAGGAGCTTTGAACTTTTAGCGGGGAGTTGCTAGAGAATTCTGCCATGCCAACTGCCAAACCCCCCTCCGCTCCCGCAAAAAAATAAATCCACGCCTGTGCCGCTTATCCGCGAGTGGACCGCAGCCGCTCCTGCGTGGGGTGCAGCTACGTGGGGAGCACGCATTTTGCGCACTAAGTGCAGAGTCCTGGGCGTGGGGACGGCGGGGCTGGTGGCGACCTTGGGCCGACGGGCCCGGGCCCGGGCCGGGGAATCCTCAGACCTTTTGGCATTAAGAAGGACCCCCTCCCTCCCTGGCCCCTTTTCCTGGGCCGGGAAGCCGTTTGGCAGGGGCTGGGGGTGGGGGTGGTGGGGTGGCGCAGAGGGGGGTGTTTAAAGAGTCCATTACTCCGAAAGCATAAGGCGAGGTTAGGTCTCAGAGGGAGACAAATATGGTTTCCATCTGATCAACGCCATGCGGCGGTGAATAAAATCGTGACGAAGTGGGCTGACAACAAGAGACAACTCTATCCGGCCCCAGTCCTCCAGCGATGTGGTGTTTTTAGAGATCGCGGAGACACTTTTTCTTATCTCCTCCCCTCCCCCCCACCCCCCAGACAACCAGGCCCTCTACAGGATTTAGTCAGTCTCTTTTTCAACAGATGCTACAATGTTTTGATCCGTGCTCCCGAGCTGAAAAGGTGCCGCAACCGGGTTGCTATCTTTTCTTGCTTGTTTTCCGCCTCACTGATTAAGACCCTAAGAAACTAAGGAATGATTTTATTTCCCAGCGTCCTTTTTTCCTTCCCCCCTTTCTCTCACTCACTCTCTCTCTCTCTCTCTCTCTCTGTCTCTCTCTCTTCTTCTTCTTCTTCCAGGAAACAAATCCTATCCCCAGCGTCAGATGGTCCTGGGGCTGGGATAATGGGAGGCGCTTTCACTCGCCTTCTCACGGATTAGGCTGGAAGGTGGACGGCGCCCATTGAAGGCCCCTTCTTTGCGCTCCGAGGGGGCTCCTTTTAAAGAAGATATCTTAATTGTCTGCCACTTAGGTTTATCATGTGGGGAATTCGAGATCCAACTTCTAGTTTTATTTCGTTAAAAGCTTTAAAAGTGGAAGGTAAATCCACTACAGAAAAAAAAGGGGGGAGCAATTTAAGAGTGACCTCTACGTCAGCGCCTGGCTACTAACAGTTGCTACTTTGACAGTAATAATAATAAAAGGTCTCAGCGGTGCAGGCTGGCCCTGAGGGGCCACGGGTTTCTCCTGACCGGCTTCTAACTCCACTCTCCCCCAGAGAAATTTAAAATGGAGCCCTCCTCATCTCCGTTGACTTTCCTCCCCTTAAAATGTCAGTTCTGCAGTCGGCTCCTTGCCCTCACTTCTGCTTGTGTGTGAGTGTGTGTGGAGGGGGAAGGGAGAAAGGAGGAAGGAAGGGAGAAGGAAGGCCTGGGCAAACGTCTGTGTTTTAAAATTAGGAAGATGTTAGAGAAGCAAACGAGAGCAGAGAATGCTATCTGTGGGGGTCTCCCGCAGGAGACCCAGGCAGCTTTGTTTAATGGGCAAGGTCGAATGTGCTAGAAAAAATACTGGAGCGGGGCTTCCTGGAAGGCATGACTGACCACCCCATGAGATGGGATCATGGTCTCCTCGGAACTCTGTCCCTAATGGTCAGATGATCCCAGACTTTTGTGTTTTCTTAAAACAATAACCTAGGATTCTGTCTGGTCGGCCAACAAGGCCTATTTCTAAAGTCTTCCTCATTCACTGAATCCAAAAATAAGGGTGGCTCTTCATTTCTTTTTCTGCAAAACACTGCAAAGTCACCCGGAAACTTGGGGCAGTAAATTAGCACAGGCTTGTGCCAGCACATGTGAGCGAGTCCGGAGCCTCTCGCTGAGCTATGTGGCCCTCCGACCCCCCACCTTTCTGAGATAGCACAAGACCACCCAAAGTAGAGTCTTGGCCTATTTACTAATATTCTTTCCCCCTCTTAGCTTCCTTTTCCTCTTTCTATCCTCCTCTCCTTCCAGCTTCTTGTCTCTTTTTCCTCTCAGCACTCTTTCCTGTCCTTATTATACCTTTCTGGCCTCCCTTTCTTTGTAGCTCTCTTTATTCCTCCATCTTCCTCCCCTCTCCATGCCGCGCCCCCCCCCGCCCCCCTCCCCGGAACCAGGGCCCCCTCTTCCCTCGATGCTTCCTCCGCTATCCCCCAGTCCTGGTCTCCACCCTTCCTGACTACTGCACCTTCAGCCCCCATGCCTGCTCGTTGCCCTCCACCCTCCCGGCCTCCCCCCACCCCCTGCCATGGCCCCCCATCCACCCTCCATCCCCCCAGCCAAGCGCCCTAAATAGCATTGAGGAGCTCGCTCTTCGGACAGTGATTAATGATAGCAGAGCAGAGGGGTTAACACACTTCACTGAAAAGTCTGTTGACTGGGCTTCTTGTAACACAATGTGGCCCGCTGCACGCCTCAAGAGAATCCTTTTGTTGTCCGCGCTCATTGTGGCCTCAAAATTCTGCCCACGAAAGTTTGCCAACGCTCCTGCCCCAGGAGTTTAATAGTTTCCCTTACTCACGGGGCATTGTGTGGTGCTGAAAAGCAGCCCCTTGCTATTCAAGTGTTGGTGGTCATCTCAATAGATCTCCAAGGGCCCATATGGTGGCCAGTGCTGATGAATCCGCCTGTTTAAATGGGGGAGAAAGTTGGGGTTTTAAAACATTTCAAAGTTCCTGAAAAGATCCCACTAGATCCTGTCACAATTCCCTGAACTCTTTGAAGACGATGCCTATTGTCTCCTGGTTATAAATGATATTCCTGGCCAAGTGGATTCCCACCAGGGCCCCTAGAGGCCCCTCCCCCACACGGGCCACGTTTCTAGGATGGGGGTCAGCCCCTGCTGGTATCTCTTGGGGGCCTCAGGACCCCAGACCCAGGACCCAGCTTGCAGGCTCAGTCAGAGCTGAGTGCTTTCCTTCAGACAGGCTGTGGCTTCATGAGCAAGGCACAAGACACAGCTAGCCCAAGTACACATCTTGCCCTATAAGCAACAAGGGAAAACAATAAAACTTTCCCCTGTTTAATGATAGAAATTACATTAAAAGTGGTGGAAATGCCCTAATTAAAAATGTACCACTTACATGATATGCCAAGGATTCAGCTGCAGCATAGCGTATTTAGCTAGTTAGTGAACTCTCTACTATTTCTTTTTTAAAATTACATGTTAAAAATTTAAAAGAAATCTTACTTTTTTCTGGTGCAACACATTACAAAGAATGGACAGTCCTTTTATCTAAATATAAAATTCGATTTTCAGCAATTATAGCCTGTTCTTGGTGATGATATAATTACAGCTGTGCTCGTAATAGGTGTCAAGGCAAAGCGCACTCATACAATAGTTGAATAAAACTGCAGAACAATGCAAGCACTTCTAAATTCACAACCTTTAAAATGAAATTGACTGTGCAGAATTAAAATAAAAACTAGATAAATATTTTTTAAAAAAGATTACAAGCTTGGTTTGGTTTCTTAATAGCATTTTCTACAAACCTATCAACATCTAATTGATTAGATAGGAATTACTGATAATAGATCATCTGAAATCTTGAACATCAGTCTTCTATTTTCCCAACACAGCCATAGGTAAATAAATTCTGTAGGGAAAGGAAACTGGTTGAGGCATCTGGGGAGTAAAGGTTAGTTATGAAAGATCATTTTAATTGGAAACCTAAGCACTTATTTTGTCATTTGAAGAAATACTGCTCTATAAATGTCTATCTTGTATGGCTAGTCTCATCTTGATAAAAACAGAAAGAAAAAAAAATGGCGGTCAGGTAATGTGTCACCAAGGCCTTTTATTAAAAGAAGGCTGCCAGTTGCCTCGGGACGTCTCTGTAAGACTGTGTGAATATACAGTTCTTGGAGTTTATGGCTATACCAGGCTCCTTTTGGAGGCCCCAAGTTCCTTCAAATCTCTCATACTGTCCTATTCTTTTTGTTCCAGATGGCTGCCAACAACAGGAAGGAGGGGGAGAGAATACCAACTCCATCAGTTCCAATGGAGAAGATTCAGATGAGGCCCAAATGCGACTTCAGCTGAAGCGGAAGCTGCAAAGAAATAGAACATCCTTTACCCAAGAGCAAATTGAAGCCCTGGAGAAAGGTGATGGAGTTTTTCAAAGTAGAGAAGCAGTAAATCAAAGTAAATGCCACATCTTCAGTACAAAGAGCTAAATTTAGCCAGGGTCCTTTGCATAGAGGACTGAAAAGATTTCTTTTTTCTGTCTGTCTCTTTATTTTTTCTGGGCATCTCTTCAGTGTGTGTGCGTGTGTTTTCTTTCTTCTTTTCATGTACCAGTAATTCAAAGACTAAAAGTCTGACTTCTCATAAAGAAAAAAAATGATGATTTGGCTAATTCAGGCCACAGAAGCATCCTGGAATGAATGTCATTCCACAGATAATTTAACTTGGTTTTGGTGGGATAGATCTTCTAAGTACAGTCAATGCTAACAGTAGTGCATTTTTTTAAAAGTTTTTTATTTATTATTTTTAGAGAGAGGGGAAGGGAAGAAGAAAAAAAGGGAGAGAAACAATTGGTTGCCTCTTGCGTGCCCCGGCCAGGGACCTGGCCTGCAACCCAGCTATGTGCTCCAACTGCAAATTGAACTGGTGACCTTTGGGTTTGTGGGACGACACCCAACCCACTGAGCCACACCAGTCGGGACAACAGCAGTAGCATTTTAAAGGAAATGGGGTGACGGTGCTGGAAGTGGGGAGGCGGGGACCAGCTTGATCCAGGGCGCGGCTGACATATTATACATAGTTCTGGCACAACATAGAAAACTCAATTTATCCTTTCAGAGTTTGAGAGAACCCATTATCCAGATGTGTTTGCCCGAGAAAGACTAGCTGCCAAAATAGACCTCCCGGAAGCAAGAATACAGGTACCCAGGGACCATGTGGTCTCATACTTTGTGATTCAAACCGTTTGCCTTTTCTAGGGATAAAGGTGCTTCTAATAACTGTTATTTGTTTATGTAAATATTAACAGATTCAGTCTGCTAAATACTTTGCCACCATGGTGGGGTGGGCAGGGAGCACAGGGGAAGGGCCAGAGGTGGGGCTGAGCCGGGAGGAGGCACAGGGCTAACCCGTTCTGTCTGATTTCCAGGTATGGTTTTCTAATCGAAGGGCCAAATGGAGAAGAGAAGAAAAACTGAGGAATCAGAGAAGACAGGCCAGCAACACACCTAGTCATATTCCTATCAGCAGTAGTTTCAGCACCAGTGTCTACCAACCAATCCCACAACCCACCACGCCTGGTAATTTGAAATGTTAATACTACTAAGAAATGTGTTGAAACCTGTTTGCCCTTGGGTCTGACTCTCACCACAACTGTTGGCGGTGTGTCTTTCCCTGCAGTTTCCTCCTTCACCTCGGGCTCCATGTTGGGCCGAACAGACACAGCCCTCACCAACACGTACAGTGCTCTGCCGCCCATGCCCAGCTTCACCATGGCGAATAATCTGCCTATGCAAGTAAGTGAGGGCTGCCGCTGCCTGCTTAGCGGGTGCGTGGGACAAGTGTGGAGTGGGCCGGGGCCTGCAGACCTCGTTGGCCATGTAGGCCCCCTTGGGAGCCTTTCTCGCTATAGCATTTGGCTTGATGAGTCTCGCCTCAGAGGAAATTAGTCAATTCAGTCCTTTATTTGATGGATTGATTGGTTGATTCATGCCCTTAAGAAAATAAAAACCAGTCAAGTTAATCTGCCTTTTGCTCACAGAGAATGTTAGCTTGATAATGGTGCATGGGAATGGGACATGTTTTGGGTATCAGTGAAACTTGTCCTGGAAAATGTATACAATGCTGGCACGCTATCAGAAAGCAAGGGGTTGGCCATAACATTTGGGTTTATATTAATGTGTTCACATTAATGGATATGCATTTGGACATTATTTAGGGTGTATGTAATAAACTAGTGGGGAAGATATGAGATGAAATGAGATTCATATTTGCATAGTGAGGTACACTTACTGCAGAAGACATCTAGGTTTATTTCTACATCTTACAATGAAAAAGAAGAAATAGAAGGTATTTGCTGGAAATTTAGTGTGTCTTTGCCGTGAATTATGTGATGAGTCTGCAGTACTCCGAGCTGCCTGGGTTGACGCTATTCACTTGGTGTAAGAGCTGGCCCCTGCTCAGTTCTGTCCCAAATATTTATCAGCCCCTGCACCTGCCAGGCCCTATACCAGGCTAACCCTTTGTGGCGGAAGTTGTATAATACAGGTGGGCTATACCATCACTTTGGAGCTGGATGGATTCTTGATGGGGGGAAATTTGTCTTCTGGTGGGCCTGCTGCAGTAACTTTCCCAGGATTCCCATTTGTGCAACAATTAGAGATGCCGGATGGTATGAGATCGGCCACGTTAGCCTCTGCTGGAAACAGTTCTGTGGCTACACAGAATGTTTATTCTCCACTGAACATCTTTTGCTGGATTTCTAATTCAAATAACAGCGAGAATAAATGTTTCACAGTCTTCAGACTAATGTAGGAGTGGCTAGATAAGCAACCTCAGAGGATTATTACCGTGTTTATTTTTATTGCATCTGGATACTATTGGCCGTAGTGCAATTAATGTAAATTAAGGGATTGGCAGCCCATGAGTTGGGGTTGCTACAACAGGCCTTGGAATTTTCCAGAAGTCAGATTGCCTAGAGGAAGTGATTTCAGGAATTAGAAACAAATGCAAACTGAAGTTCTGGCAGGGCCCTCAAGGCCTGCTTGCCATTTTCAACCTGTTAGCAGTCATCCTCTGAGGAGGAAGGCCAGTGAGTGTCTTTGTTCAGTTTTTAAATTGTAGCGACATCTAGGTTTCTGCGTGGGTAACCAAATGTGTGTCTGAGAAAACAATTAGAAACAAATAGATGCTGCTTTTCTGTGGAGTTGTTTCCACATATAGACTGGCATGGGGTCAATCGATTTGACTGACTTTAAACACTAATACAACTTATACAATTCAAAATATACATGCATTCATGAAGCATAAAGAAAATAAAAATTATCAATGATTCTGTTCAGACAAAATTACTGTTTGAATTTTGGAGCGGGCACGGGGATGCTGTTGTCTGCGGGGGCCAAAATCTTTACCCGTTTTACAAAGAGTGGGGGTGTCCTCCGCTGAATCTTCTCTCATGTGTCCCCTTTCTGAGATTGTGGGTGTTGGAATGTTCAACATTTGTACACTTAGCAGAGGAAGGAAGTGCTGCCATCTGCCTTGTTCCTGACATCACGCCTCTGCTACTTCATCCCAGGGTTCCTGCCCTGCCATTGCCCCATGAGAGCTCATGAGCGGCTTCGTCCCAGCTCTGTGTGTTTCTTATGTAGTTAGGGGAAAGGGTTACCTCCTCTGTACAACCACTGCAAACACAGAGAGGACAGCAACACCATTTTAAGGATAAAACCCCGTCTGGGTTTGTGGGTCTGTAAGGAAGTCACAGGTAATTCTCGGGGTGGAGATATGTGTTTACGGACACTTTTGACCACTTTAATCTGAGATCATTACTGATCTGCCCCTTTCAAAGAATCTTTAATCCTGCGAGTCCAACAATGAAAGGCTTCCAAAGTCCCTAAACCAAACTTTACAGAGAGCTCCTCCCTCCTTCCACGGCTCTCTGCCTCTAAGCTGGAGATGTGGGATTGGGTGGGGGGTGGAGGGGGGCGGGGCCACTGGATTCTCAAACAGATTGGATGTGCAGGAGAAGGGATGTGTTTTAATGAAGGTCCTCACGCTATAGCTTCTCCAAAGATGCCAGCAGATATCCAAAACAAAAATGGATACAAATGCTATTAGTTTGATGGGTAGTGTCAACTGTGTACCTGGACAGTTGTTTGAAGTTGTAGTACTTTTAGAAGATTGGTGTGTAGGCAGCTTTACTCTAGTAGTGGCCAATGGAAGAACTGTTTGGAGGTCTGATCTGAGAGTTATCAGATGGAATTCCAATACTTTTTTTTTCTTTTAAGATTTTATTTATTTATTAACAGAGAGGGGAAGGGAGGGCAAAAGAGAATGGGGACCTGGCCTGCAACCCAGGCATGTGCCCTGACCAGGAATTGAACCCATGACTTTTGGGTTTATGGGACGCTGCCTAACCCACTGAGCAATACCAGTCAGGGCTGGAATTCTGATACTTTACATGACAGCGCCCTTAATGATCAAGCTTGTTGGCAGAGGTCCTGGGGAGGAGGGAGCCTGGGGATGTGGCTGTGTCATGGGTTTCTCTGTAACCACAGGTTTGCCTTTCTCCTCTCAGGCCCCAGTCCCCAGCCAGACCTCCTCATACTCCTGCATGCTGCCTACCAGCCCTTCGGTGAACGGGCGGAGCTATGACACCTACACCCCCCCACACATGCAGACGCACATGAACAGTCAGCCCATGGGCACCTCGGGCACCACTTCCACAGGTGAGCTGCCGCTCTCCACAGGCTGCACGGAGGTGGCCTCCAGAGCGTCTTCTGACAGGTGATCTCCCTTCACTCAGAGTTAATCGAAACAAACCCCCACCAAAAAAAACCAACTCCTGGCCTTGTGTGATGGTGTGTTTAACTCTTTGTTGCTCACTTCTCTGGGAAAAACGGATTGAAAAGGGAAATTCAGCCAAGCTAGTTAGTAACTTGATGCCACACAGACAGCAAAGTTGTTTTTCCTGAATTGGGTCACAGAAGTTGTATAAAAAGGCAAGGCCTGAGACTGCGAAGTTTCTGAGGAGGGGTTAGTAGCCAAAGCCCGGCAGTGAGGGCTCTATGAGCTGCGTGGTGAGTCCTCAGCGGAAGACTTCTCACCCTCCCAGCTCCTGCGCTTCTCCCTGCAACCGAGGGAGAACCAGCATTGGTTTTCCAGAGAGAGTTTTATCGCTGAAGTTCCAAACATACAGGCAAATGGAGCTTTTTTTCCTTTTGTTTTGCATAGGGGACTCGGGATTCAACAGTGGTATGTGTAAAAATATTTTCTGGTGCCTGAAGGTGCTACTTTTGTTTGTAACACTTGAAAATATATTTTTAAAAAATGCTGAAATACTGTTAAAATGTTAGAAAGCATTAGAGTTTGTTTTTTTAACAGATGAATTCATACTCCATGCTGACTCTTGAAGGGAATATCTACATGGCTGTTTTTTTTTTATCCACTTCTAGGACTCATTTCCCCTGGTGTGTCAGTTCCAGTTCAAGTTCCTGGAAGTGAACCTGATATGTCTCAATACTGGCCAAGATTACAGTAAAAAAAAAAAAAAAAAAAAAAAAAAAAAAATAAAAGGAGAGAGCGAGAGAGAGAGAGAAAGAGAGAATATATTGTGTTAATTCATTCAGTGACTAAGTGGACACAACAGTTGGGCATTCAGGAAGGAAAGGAAAATGGCTGTTGGACGGCGCACTTCAGTTCTGCGATGGTGTCCTGTATTGTACCACTGGGGAATGGACTTGAAACAAGGACCTTTGTATACAGAAGGCACAATATCAGTTGGAACAAATCTTCATTTTGGTATCCAAACTTTTATTCATTTTGCTGTATTATTTGTAAATGGGCATTTGTATGTTATAATGGAAAAAGAACAATGTAGACTGGATGGATGTTTGATCCCCGTTGGTCATGAGGTTGTTTTTTTAAAAAAGGAAACCATGATCAACAAGCTTTGCCATGAATTTAAGAGTTTTATCAAGATATATCGAATACTTCTACCCATCTGCTCATAGTTTATGGACTGAATGAGGTTCCAAGTTTGTATCATTCCTTTGCATATAATTAAACCTGGAACAACATGCACTAGATTTATGTAAGAAATATCTGTTGGTTTTCCAAAGGTTGTTAACAGATGAAGTTTATGTGCACAAAAGGGTAAGCTATAAATTCAAGGATGAAAAACATTGATAGCTAAAAAGGTAGAGTGTGTCTTCGATATAATCCAATTTGTTTTATGTCAAAATGTAAGTATTTGTCTTCCCTAGAAATCCTCAGAATGATTTCTATAATAAAGTTAATTTCATTTATATTTGACAAGAATACTCTATAGATGTTTTATACACACTTTCACGCAATCATACGTTTCTTTTTTGGCCAGCAAAAGTTAATTGTTCTTAGATATAGTTGTATTACTGTTCACAGTCCAATCATTTTGTGCATCTAGAATTCATTTCTAATCAATTAAAAGTGCTTGCAAGAGTTTTAAACTTAAGTGTTTTGAAGTTGTTCACAACTACATATCAAAATTAACCATTGTTGATTGTAAAAACCATGCCAAAGCCTTTGTATTTCCTTTATTATACTATTTTCTTTTAAACCTTATAGTGTGGTGTTACAAATTTTGTTTCCACGTTAGAGTAACATTTGGAACCAGTGGCTACTTTCATACATACTCTACTTTAAATCCTGATGATCCTTAAAGAAATAATTCTCATAGACACCATAAATTGGAAATGTGTTAGAAAAAAAAAATTCTGCTTGAAGCTATGTGTAGATTATACCCACAACATACATACAAAATGGTAACATTTCCATGCTAGCTGTTTAATTCCAAAGCTCAAAGTCTAGAAATAATTTTAAAATGCAACAAGCTATTAACTAGGAATTGTCTTTTGAATTAGGGCTGGCATTTTCAATCTGGGCAGATTTCCATTGTCAGCCTATTTCAACAGCGATTTCACTGAAGTATATTCAAAAGTAGATTTCTTATACAAGACTCTCTGAAAGCTGTTGCCTTTCTCAAATAGGCCCTCTCCCTTTTCTGTCTCCCTCCCCTTTGCACAGAGGCATCATTTCCCATTGAACCACTACAGCTGTTCCCATTTGAATCTCGCTTTCTGTGTGGTTGTGGATGGTTGGAGGGTGGAGGGGGGTTGTTGCATGTCAAGGAATAATGAGCACAGACACATCAACAGACAACAACAAAGCAGACTGTGACTGGCCGGTGGGAGTTAAAGGCCTTCAGTCATTGGCAGCTTAAGCCAAACATTCCCAAATCTATGAAGCAGGGCCCATTGTTGGTCAGTTGTTATTTGCAATGAAGCACAGATCTGATCATGTTTAAAGTGGCGGCACGCAGGGCAGGAGTGCTTGAGCCCAAGCAAAGGATGGAAAAAAAAAAAATAAGCCTTTGTTGGGTGGAAAAGCCGTCTCCGAGACTTTTATTTCCATCTGTTCTGTGCAACATATAAGTCACTAATATTAAGTTTTCTTCTGCAAACTTCAGTCAAAGGTGGGGGTTCTGGCAGTTAGATTAAATGCTGCACAGGCTGAAGCCCTCGGGACAAAGACACACTTCCACTGAATTGCACTCTGTCTGTTTTCTTTTTTTAACCCCTCAAGGCAAATGATCAGAAATATAGAAATTAATTGGAGGCTTAAAAAAAAAAATAACCTAGCGCCACATCTACTATTTTCTAGTTAAGGAATTATTTGTGAACAGATCATTATGATTCATCTCTCTGGCATGCTCTGTGTTAGTATTTTTATTCCACCAGAGTTGCTGCTCATTTAGAGACACCTTCCTAGGTTGATTGTGGTGTTTATATGTGTGCATATACTTTGAGTCAACGTCAGCCTGCACTGCATGCTTGCACACTTCTGCAGCGGCGTGTGCACACACATGCACTGCTGGTACAGTTGCCCATGCAGATATTTCCACCTCCTGACATTTTGCAGCTTACATTCCCTGAGGGACACGTGCCCAGGGAACTGTCAGAGAAGGGCTATGTGTGGTGTGTGTGTAGCTGCTGGCAGGCTTCTTCCCTGCAAGAAGGAGGACGGTTTCCAACTGGCTATGACTTGCGCCAGGGTCAAGCCACCAGGTCTGGCCCATGGCTCTGTTGTGTAGAGAGCACAGACTTTGGAGAACTGGGGGCGGCCCTTTGGGTGCAGGAGCGGGGAAGGGGGAGAAGGGGAGCGCTGTGGGAGCGGAGGGTCCCTGTGTGCGCGCGCGCGCCTGGGCACGTATTCATGTCCTCTGGTGGTCAGGATTTCCAGGGTGCAGTGGAACAGCCTGGCTTAGTCCGAGGAATCGGCTGCTCAGTTGCAGAAGCCCTCCGGTCCAGCAGGATGGAACGGCTGCCTTGCCTTCTGCCCTCGCCCAGGGCGGATGAGCACACTTCTGAATGAAGCTCCGGGCCCTCTCCCGGGACGGCATGGCAAGCAAGCAAGCACTGTGTGGAAGCAGTGCCCGGGAGGTGGCCTTTGACTCCTTATTGAAATAATTTATTTTTGTTTATTTACTTACTGAGAGGTATATTTATATATTTATCAGTGGGGACTCTGCAGGGATGCTTTGACACCATCTTCCTGGATGGTGACTTGCTATTTGTGATATCCTCAGAAGCAGCACAAGACTAATAGCCTATGATTTTTCTCCCAACGTGCCTGACTTAGGGAGACCAGGTGAACAGAATTAGATGCGAATGTTTGAGTAAGAAGCCTTCAAATTATTCTGAGTAAAAAATATTTTTACTACAATGGATTTCCAGAATATTTTCCCTCCAAAGCTGTGCCTCTGAACTCTTAAGTGGTAACCTACTGGTTTTTCTTGACGTGGCTTACATAACCATCTCTTCCTACTTTTATCATAACTAGTTTCCTAAGTTACAGTATTATTTTAAGATTCAGCTTTTTTTTTTTTTTGGGGGGTAAATTTTTGTTATCTTAGGGTGGTGTCTATATTCTTCTGCTTATTGTTTTTACTCTGGGCCTTACTGTTAACAAGATGATAAAAGAAGGCTTTTTTTTCTTTGAATGTGGCACACCAAGACCAAACACAAATTCTTCCCTTTTTTTGTTTCTCAAGAATAAACCTCTCACCTGTTTTTTTGTTTGTTTTGTTTTTTGTTTCAGTTCTGCTGAATTTCACTGCTCAGTTTTAAAGTTCAGAGTGTAAGTACTTAGGGTTAGTATTGCTTAAATTCGATAATGTTGATGGCGACTATCTTTGGAAAGGATTAACATGTTTTAGAAATGACATTCATAATGGACTTGAACAAATGAATAGGGGTCACCCCCCTTTTCCTTTTGTATGTGGATGCCTGTGTCCGATTCTTAAAAATTAAAAGATAGGGAATTTATTGCCGAGTGTTGATTCCTTTTGAAGTAGTTTTATTTTGTCCAGTGTTCGTAATCACAGATCCTGGAGGTGGAGATAAAAAATAAATGGAAGAAAGAAAAAGGAAAGCGGAAATTGGTGGCTACCGAAAAGAAATTCCTAAGGTCTCAGCATCCCAGCACCTGAGCAGGCTGCAGCAAAATATTTACCTTGTTAAAAAAGGGGCAACTTTAGTGTAAGAAATGAATACCATAAAGGATTTTGAAGTTTTAGAAACATTTAAAATATTTAAGGACATTTCAAATACTGTTTGGCATTGTTACTTAAGTATTTATATCTTTGAGACAAGTTGATAATTGAAAAAAATCTGTTTTAGAGTATATTTCATAATGTGTCAAAATAGTCTATATACCTACAGCAGCATTATTGAAGACCAATATTTTTATGTGGTAAGTTATTAACATGTGGATAATTGATAATGTTTCCAGAACAAAGGGAAACACATTTTTTGAGTGGGTTTTTATAGGAAAAAACCAAAAACATACATCTTTCTTTGGCAGCTACTTTTTACAAAGCCTGCCTAGTGAATCAGAACAACAAAGCATTTGAATCCAATTTTTGGAAAGCCCAGGTACTATTATTGTTCAAAATGCACTTTTACTGAGTTTGAAAAGTTTATTTTAGATTTAAAATAAGTTGGGATCAAATATGCACATTTAATTTTTGTGGTATTTATCTACTTGCAAAGCATATATTAACTAGTAATTGGCTGTTAATTTTATAGACATGGGAGCCAAGGTAGTAAATCAATGACCTATTAAGTATTTTTGACAAGCAATTTACATATCTGATGACCTCACATTTTCTTCTCATAGTCAAGTGCTATGTAATTGTTCTGTTGTGTGTTTGTATAAAATGAGTCACAACACGGTAAGAAAAAGGTTAGAGTTATTAAAATAATAACCTGACTAAAATACTCATTTGAATTTATTCAGATTGTTCATAATGCTTTTAAAAGATACAGCAAAGCTTTTGTGGAGTATCTGCACATTATTTATTATCTATGGACTAAACTGATTTTTTTGAAGTTGCTTTACATTTTAAAAGCACCTTTGCTTAATATGAAAGCCCTTTAATTTTAACTGACAGATCAATTCTGAAACTTTATTTTGAAATGAAAATGGGGAAGAATTTGTGTC